GATACACATCACCTCACACTAGGATGGAGACCCTCGACATGCTTCAGCGCAGACGGCAGCAGGGTTGGGCCTGCCCAGAGCCCTTCACTGCATGTTCTCATCAAAGGTCATTTCACAAGAGAGGGGGACACCCAGCACTGACTCAGATCAGAGTCACAAGGAGCAAACTGAGATCACCATTTCTTCATGAAACAGGCAATTAACCAGTGGCATCCAGATGGGTCATTACTCAGTGACTGATATCCCCGATAACCTACATGGCCTCAGGAGAAGCTACTCATTTGTCTGTACTGCAAATGCTACTGGTGGACTGGCCCCTTCATCAGCAAGCAAAGAGAGTCAGGACTCAATTTAAAAGCCATGACCACCAACTTGGTGAGACTGGGCACTACACATAGGTGGTGAGTCCCAGATGAAGAGCCAGAAGAACCACTCGTGGGTGGAGAACCCACTCACGAGCCACCCCAGGCCTGACCCTGCATCCAACTGGCCAGGGAAGCCAGGCAGACCTAAGGAGATCTTCCCTTTCAAGAGCTCCCACTTGTTTCCTAAGCAGCTGTCCTCAGTTTAATCAGTAACTGAGCAAGTGGGATGAAATCCTGCCTCAGCTGAAGCTGAATTAATGACATCCATGACGGCAGGATTCCCCTACAACCTCCACCACCTTTCTCATCTGGGTCACACAAGAAACTACTAACCAGCCACACTTGACCTGTTCCCCGTGGGCTAGGCTCTAGCGCCTTCCCAGAGCATGCCCTGTCCACCTTCAAGAGGCCAAAGGACCTCTGGCCTCTCTTCTATGGCTCTGCACCAGCTCACAATGCAGCCGATGAACAGCAAGTGGAGATCTCAGCCGGGACTTCTCTGAGCACCACATCAGAGGAGCTGCTGGACCTCCAGGAGGCATTTCAAGAACGCAAAGCAGGGCTGCTCTGATAACATGAGGTTTAAGCACAAACAGAGTCTCTTGCAGAGCTCTGCAAATCAGCCCCTCAGCAGCCTGTGTCTGGTGCTCTTCCTGGGACCGTCCCTCTCCATCCTCGACACGCAGAAAGAGATGCAGGACAGTCACACGGGCCAATATCAACATCCCAGGAAAAGGGAAAAACGCAGACTCAGAGAAATAAAACCAATTTTGCCTAGCAACAAGAAGAAGTGCCTCTCTCCCCCCGCAGGTAATGGCATCCAACAGACAGCTCAGCAAAACCTTACCCACCTAAGACTGGCTGATTTCTCCTCCAGAAGCTGTGTTCAGGAAAGGAGAGGTGGACGCAGCCAGCGGCTGCATAAGGGTACAAAGGCTGGTCTACTAAAAAGGGTAATCTAGGAAGATCAAGTAGCGCTAAGAACACACACACACAAAAAAAAAAAAAGGGAAGTGGTATGTGGATACTGGAGCAGCATCAGGGCACTCTGAAACCGTGACAGGGTAGAAGAAACCCAACCAGACATGCCTGATTCATCAGGCTTTTCAGAAAGAGAAAAGCCCTGATGTCCTCAAGGTAATCGGGCTGGCACAGCCCAGTGTTAAAAGATGCTGCAAGTGTGATCTTGATTAGCTCATCTGCTGCAGGCTATGTTTGAAGGGAGCTGTGGCTAATCTTATTTTGATTGCCTTAAAATTCAGTTATGGGGAAAAGCCTGATGTGTTAGCAGATATATTAATCATGTTGGAGCAGCCTTGTCTCCTAAACTAGTGTTTGATTAAAAGGGAGCACAACAAACAGGCACCTCAAAAAGCTGGTGCTATTTTTGGCTGCTTCATTTGGAGCAGTTCCTGATGCTCCAATGTGCCTAGCAAAACCTTTGGGACAAATACTTACATTTTCTTGTATTTAGTAAATATTTCTATATCATTGTTCATATTTTAAAGATGTGTGAGTAAACAGAGAAAAGGGATTTGCTTCTTCCTGAGAGGCTAAGATTAAAAGTCAAAATGATTTATGTAAATACATAAGCAGTAAATTCAGCTTCTGAAAATTTCAGGCTCAATTTGCAGGAGCTCCACAGCCTTACGAGGAGGCCTCTCTACCCTACATTAGTTAGGAAAGGGCATTTAGGTAACTGCAAAGCAGACTTAGCAAGGAGGCTTTAGGCAAAAAGTCAGAAAACAATGCCTAGAGGAAAGGAGGGATTTTTTTCCTTTTAATTCATTATAATTTTTTTTCATATATTTTTAATAATAATCTGAAAAGCCATTTTGCAGCACAATGTTGTTTTGACCGTGTTTTCATTTGGGTAATCGTGAAGTCAGTGGATAAATGATTTCTCAGCTGAGAATGAGAGGAACCATTAAGCACCAACTTCCTGTCCTAAATTCGTGTTCAAGGCAGCTGGAGAAGCAGAGGACTGAAGCCTGCTCCCATTATCACCCTGATGGCCAGCCTGGAGATGACATCTTCAGTGGGGACATACAAATGGTACTCCATGTCTCCGCATCAATGAGGCTCCTCATGTGAGGCACAGGGAGATGCTGATTAGCCCCAGGACAAAACCTGGCTGCCCATCAGCTACTGCCTCACTGCTGGTGATGCTTGGTGGCCAAAAATAAACTATGTCCTCTTTTCCCACTTCCTTCATTCCCCAGGAGAAAAGGGTCTCTGGAGGTACAAGGCTTCAGTCTCAAGGATGTAGTGGTCAGAGGTACAGGAATCTCCAAAAAAGCATTACCATGTCTTCTCCCTCCTATGCAAATGCCTTTACAGAAGTTTCCTTAATTTAGATGTAACCCATTTTTTCTCTGTAACATTTTCTTGGCAGGCAGAAAGAAGAGTAGCTGCCCCCCCCCCCGCCCCCCACATAAAAGTCAACAGAAAACCCGAACATTTCTGGGCTCATGAGCTACTCCAGAGCAGCATGGGTTTCTTCTACCTGCAGTACTCCTGCTCCAACCCAGCCAGACACCAAAGTCCTCATGGTCATGTGACGATTGGAGGAAAGGACATGGTATCTGCTGTGCTTCTGCTCCAGTGACACTCCACCCCACACAGGCTCAGAAAGATATGGTAATTTTGGGACTGTAGTGAGGAAGATGCTGCCTTGAATGTTGCTCAGAAGGGAGATGTAAAAGACCAAAGGGTCCACAAAAATATGATGGCAGGAACAGCCTCATCAGCCCAGCAGGATGCTTATGTGGTTAATCCATATTTAAAGATGGCAATGGTTAAAGCATCCACTCCTGAAGTACCTCCCAGGAAGCTGGGAAATAGCACCACAAGCTAAATGAAGGACAGGAGGAGCAACATGACAGATTTCTACTACCTTCCTTACTTTTCTAAATGCTTGGTTTTATGCCAGAGGTGGATGAGCAGCATTTTCCCCATACAGAGAGTGGAAAAGGGTCCTCTTCCGCAAATCCCCTTTTTTCATGAAGTTCGCTGCAATTTTATTTTCAGTAGGATTATCCTGTAGAGCTTGTGTGGAGGAGGCTGGGGAGATGCACAAAGATCTGTACTTAAGCCAAAACCCTCCCTATGGACATTCACAAGCCGAGTCCCTTTCCCATACTAAGAGAACCCCACTCCAGTCACAACTGGACCATCATTCACCAGAGGATCAACAGCCACCTACAAAAGCCTATTTTCCAGAAAGCACACATGGATTTCAAGACCCCTGTCCCCCAAAAACCCACCCCACAAATGAAAAGCCAAATCCTACCCACTATCAGGGTCAAATTCCCTTCAAACAGTGAAGGCAACACATGCAAAAGAAGCTGCCAGGATGAATCACAGAAAGGAGGCAGAACTCAAAAATAAGGTTTTGTTCTTTTTTATTATAAAAAACTATTCAGAAGAAGTCCAAATGCAGTGGAATATAACTGGCACCATCTAAGATACCCAAGTGTAAAATCCCAGAACATTTGAACCCCCCAGCATGAGCTGGGAGGTGCCAGGGCTGGCTGGGAGGGACAGGTGGCCTCTCCCTTCTCCTAGCCCCCATCACAGCTGGATGGCAGGCAGCCCAAGAGCCAGGACACAACAGTGACATCAACGGTCTCTGTAAAACCATTCAGTTTTAGAAACTAAGAACATTATGAAAAAATCTAAAACTTTTTTCCTTTATCAAAAGTCCTGCTTTAGTGACATGCTAGCCCCACTGGAAAGGTAAAAAACCCCACAGCTCTGTCCAGAACATGGTTAAGTTGACCAGTCAACTCTTGGTTCAGGACACCTTCCTCCTGCTAATCTACACACTCATGAGCGCATCACAGCTGCTCAAGTTACAATGATAAATGCTTCTGCAGGCTTCCCCAGTCTGGGAACCACCTCCTGCAAACTCCACACCACACTGAAACAGGTCTCATCTGAGTCTCCTCCACCAAGCCTTTCAGGCTCATACTCAGACCCACCTGGAGGCCCTCTGACAGCATCCTCAGGAGCTCTGCCTGCTCTAGCCAGGTGAGTCATTGGAACATCATCTCTTTTTTTAAAAAAAAAAAAACACTTTCATATAATTTTTTTGTTGTTTTTATATTTAAATAGAAAAATACTACTTCACTCTGTGTTATGAACCAGAGACCAGCTGACTTCCAGTGACAGAACCAGGAGTTCTCAACACTCCTATGCTGAGCTAAATGCCAGAAGATTCCCCGAAACCTCAGAGTGGCCAGAGGGTGAAGACCTCCCCATCACACCATACAGGCAGGAGCACGCAGGGCTCCTTCACAGCTCCTGTCTTCCCTTCTCTGCAGACAGGCATCAACCTTAGAGAACCATTAGTCTGCAGAGAGCCAGCAGTGGGGCTAACACCCCAAATTTGACTCTTGGGGAAGTCAGCTATAGTTTTAGGTTTTCCACTTGCCTACTGGCTTTTTGTGTGTGCAGTCTGTCCCTGGAAGCCATTGGATCCCATCAGATGTACACATGAATTAGACAAAAAAAATAAAACAGTGGTTAAAAGTTCTAACACCCTCTCCTTCTCTTGTCTTCTGAAGAGTCAATGACAAAACAGACATTGATAAAACTAAATTTGCCCTCCTCCCCACCTCAAGACAACAAGAGTTACTGAGACACAAAACATGTTATCTTGTACCCTCGGGATTACATCTAGAAGGGAAGTTTAGGGGTGCGGGAAGTGCGGGGGGAAGGCGGTGTCTCTAGGCGCAGTCTGCTTAGTTCTTGTACTCAAAAGGCTCGTCTCCAGTTTCGTTGAGGAGACACGTGCGAACAAGGGCTTCTGTCACAGCATAAGGATCACAGTTGGCGGAGGGCCGGCGGTCCTCGAAGTAGCCCTTTTTCTCATGGCCCACATTCCTGGGGATGCGGATGCTGGCGCCACGATTGGCCACGCCAGCAGAGAACTCATGGATGTTGGATGTTTCATGGAAGCCCGTCAGGCGCCTGGCATTGTCCAGCCCCCCTTTAGGGTCATAGGCACGGATGTGGTACTGGTGACGCTTGCTCAGCTTCTCGATGGCCTCTTCAATGTGCCTGCAAAGGGAGCAAGGAAGAGGGGAAGACACAGTGAGTGTCTGATGGACAGTACAAGCTGAGCCACTCTTTACTGTTGCATCCAAGCCACAGCAGGTTCATCACTGTGCCCAAGCCACTTCATGACAAAGCTTGTGTCCTACAGCCCATTTTTCTGATCACCTCACCACAGGGCTTCTCTCCATTCCTACTTCTGACCCAGGCTGGTTCTTGGAAAAGGAACCCCATGGCCTGAGAATGCCCCTTGGGTGTGCCATATGTGTGTGTGACACCACCAGTGTGACTCTCAGCCAAATCCCAGACACATTGTCCTGTGGAACCCGCTCTCAGCGGGGAGATTTCTTAACACAGAAGTTCCTATTTGGGAAGCTCACACAGTCACAGGTTGGCTCATTATCTCAGGGCATCACTAAGATGAAGAAAACATCTGCCAGGAGGAATGCCTTCATAGAGCTCCAGTGCAATCCAGTGCTCTAAGGTCTGCCTGCACTCAGCACATCAGTCCCATAAGGGAACTAGTGTTTTACATTTCCAGGATCTTGTTATTTAAGAAAACGCGGCATTAGCTTCCATAGCCTGGCCTAGAGAGAAGCAAATGGTCTTTCCCTTTCATCATGGTTATAAAAAAAGGCCTATGCTGAATTTATTTGTTTGTTTACAGCATTGGCAGATCAAGAACTGGACAGTGTTATGAATAGCTGCATCTTGGCCACCCACACTTCCATCGACATGGATGGATCTGTACAGCTGGCTGAATTTCCCACCGAACACTAAGATGAGAGTATATCATTATGCAAAAAAGAAAAAAAAAAAGAATCCAGAAGAAAGGCTCAAAGCCAAGCACCAGAGTGACATCTTCCATGTGGGCAAGAGGTCTGCAAAAAGCTCACTGCTACCAAGTCCAGCCTGCTGGCTAGCAAACAGATGCTACTGGCCCATCTCAAAAAACTTACTTGAGACCTCCGTCTTCCCTCATGTTCTTGGTACTGAAGTTGGTGTGACAGCCAGCACCGTTCCAGTTCCCAGGGATGGGTTTGGGATCAAAGGACACAATGACACCAAAGTCTTCACACACCCGATGGAGAATGAAGCGTGCAATCCAGAGGTGATCCCCCATCTCAATCCCTTCGCATGGTCCCACCTGGAACTCCCACTACAAGGAGGAGGAGTCACTGGCTCAGTGATGCAAAGACACTCACAGTGAGATACCTCCCACCCCCTTACGCTCTGACGGTTGATCAAACTACATGGCTCGTAGCCAAAAGCTCCCGCTGCTTAGGATTTTCCTGTACTATATCATTCCACAAGGCATCTAAAACAGTTTACCTGGGCTGGCATCACTTCTGCATTGGTTCCTCCAATTTTCACACCAGCATAAAGGCACGCTCGGTAGTGGGCCTCGACAATGTCTCTGCCATAGGCTTTGTCTGCCCCTACACCACAGTAGTACGGACCTGCAACAGCACAGGTGAACAGCAAGGGAAACATGAGTTTCCAGAAGGAAAACCCCTTAAATTCAGTGAAGACAGTGCACACGCAGGGAAGAACTCTCTAAAGGCTGGGGATGTGTGGAAAAGCCTCTAAACCTGTTTTTCACGGAAGCACTAGCAGAGCAAGTCCTTCAGAGTCTGGGCTTGTGCTCTGTCATGCTGGGCACCTGCAGACTAACAAACCAAGGAGCAATTTGGATGTGGCCAATCACCATCTTAGTCTTTCTGTAACAACCTTAACCTCATGGGTTAGTTTTTGCCAATATCCTGCTTGCTATTGTCCACCTTTGGTTCTAGAAACATCTCGAATCTTTCGGCTCACCTGAAGCACTTGAACCGTAATTCATGTAATGCAGCTTAAACACAGTGTTAAGGAATCCTGACTTGGTCCAGCACAGACTCCCGAGAGGTTACCTTGGGGTCCAGGGAAGCCGTTGGAAGGCCAGCCAAATGGATGTCCATCCGTCCCTAGAAGAGTGTACTCTTGCTCCATCCCAAACCAGGGGTGCTGGTTGGACACCATATCCATAATCCGTCTGCAGGTGTGTCGGAGGTTTGTCTCTAGAATGGAAAAGCAGTATGAGGCTTATTAGCACCTCCACCTCCATCCCCCATTTCCACTTTACAGTTTGAGTCGCAGCAGCGTTGGTAAAGAATCTCAGAACCAGCCCTTTCTCCACTGCCAGCACTTCGTCTGCCTTTTACTTTCAGGGCAGGGATTATTTGTTTGTCATGTGATCCTAAAGGCATCACTAGCATTTGGACAGGTCTCCCTTTCCCCTCCCCAGAAACACATGTGCCAGGAAAAGGTCAATTCACCTGCAGACTGGCGGTTGTATTTGAAGACCTCACAGAGAACTAGTTTATTGGGATCCTTGCGAAAAGGGTCCCGAAACATAGCAGCAGGTCGTAGGTACATGTCACTGTTGGAGCCTTCAGCCTGGAAGGTGCTGGAGCCATCAAAATTCCACTCAGGGAGATCTGGAGAGAGGAACAAGCCACAGTGACCCAGTGTCCCTGGTCACCAGGAGGATGGGCTCCCTGCCGCCCTTCAGTATTACAGAACTGAAGATGCCTATAGAGAACAGGCCTACAATAGGTTTAATCCCAGCTCAGCTGATTTTATTCCAAATGGAGGAAGCAAAAAACAAGACACCAAAAAAACCCCACCAAAACAAGCAAAAAAACTATGGGAGTGCAACTCCCCAGCCACCCTGGGAAACACAAGGAGCTGGGCAGCTTGCCAAGCCCAAGCAAACCGAGCAGCACTGAGGATGTTTCCCATGTCACAACAACCACAGGGATGAGCAGAGCACCCAATCTCCTCAAAGAGGTGGCTGGGCAAGCTGGGAGAGGGCAGAGCACGAAACATCTTCAAGCTGGAAGAATGAGGGGATCCATGAAATACCCTTATCCATGGCTGCATAGCCCAGAGAAGGTGGGAAAGCAAATCACATGTAGATGGAGTCTCATATGGAGGAGTACGGCCAGCTTGGCCCCCTCTCCCACCCCTCCTGGCTTCAAACTGCCCTCCAGGTCAAAGCACAGCAGGAGCAGCAGTGAACTCCACCCGGCAGTGTTATCTCCTCCATATCCTGGGGGGAAAGTGGGAGGATGGGAAGCACAAAGATTTCAAAGGAGCTGTGCCAACCACTCCCTTAGAAGGAAAAGGGGAAAGGAGGGGAAAAAAAAAAGAAAAAGAAAAAAAGATAATTCTGCTCAGTCACACACAGTATTTTCATTTCATAACTGTCTCCAGCCAGCACCATGGCAACCTGGGGAAAATCCTAATGCTATTATTGTGTAAGCTGGGACTGTTTGTTCTGAGGGACACAAGCTCTTAATTACACCGGATAGCTCCATTCTTTCCCCTCCACTTTCTTCTGCCAAACTACTTCCGGCCAAAACGAGTACTCGAGAGTCAATGAGCTACCAAGCCCCTGCCAACAGCCCCCTCCACAGCGCAGGCAGCGCCAGGGACGGGCTCCCAACCCCAGGCATCTCACTGAAACTCCACATCTGGAGAGCTAGGAACATTCCCCTGAGGTATCTGGGGAAAGAGGTAACTGGAAATGGATGAGGAGCAATGTCTTCCCCAAATACCATCCTTCTGCCATGAAGAGAAAAACAGATGCGGCCATGCATGGCTGCCTTCACCTGGCGAGAGGCTGCGACTCCTGCACCTGCCCTCTCACCTTCAAGGCTCTTGGGCTCGTGGTCCAGTGTGCGGGTTTTGCAGCGGAGGTGCTCCCCTGTCCCATCAATCCAGATGTACATGGCTTGGACTTTCTCCCCCTGCGGCAGCTTCATGTACATGTGCTTGATGGCTTTGCTCAGGTGGGAGCTCGCCGAGGTGGCCATGGCTGCAGACCGGACAAGGGGGTTCCTGTAAGGAGGATACAAAAAACAACCCCAACCATGAGCCCTTCCCTGCGCTCCTAGATTTTTCACCTCCAGCCAGGAAAAAGCACAAGACAGCTTGGCCACAGAGATGGCTGCTGTCTCCAGCAGCCCCATGCCATTCTGCAGGCAGAAAACACAGCAGCTCAGACAGATGCAGGCAGCTAGGAAAGCTCAGCTCCAGAACAGATGCCTTCAAAGCATCCCATTAATACCTGAACTCCTGCCCACATCCTTCCAATAAACTTGGTCTTATCCACCAAGCAACAGCCTTCAAAAGTGCTCCTCAGCCCTATGTGAACTTCTCACCTCCACGCTCACCACCGCTCCGGAGCAAGGCTAACGCACAGGAAAGCTTAGCTGGGGCTTTCTTAATGTACTTGCTTCAGCAAGGAGGACTTGCCAGCCTCAGCTGCCTTCTCCGATCAGCTGGTCTGAAGTTATACAAGCCCTGCCTAGGGCAGGAGGGAGCGCAACGGAGAGCAACAGGCAGCGCAAGCGACCCCAGAGCAACCCAGGCAGCAGCCTCCAGGCAGCGCTGGGGAGGCTAAAGGCACTCCGGTCCCAGGCGGCAAGAGCTGGGATGAGAGCTCCATCCAGCCCGGAGCCGGGCTCGCAGGGACAGCCAGCCCATGCGTATCAGGACCACGGCAGCCCGGGGCCCACGCGTGTCTGCCGGAGCTTGGAAACGCAAACGATTTGGAAAGCTGAAGTGGCTTGAAAAGTCACTCCAACACCCTACCCCTCTGCAGGGAGGCTCGGCTCAGCCCGCCCTGCTATAATGGGGGCTCCCCTGCGCTGGCTGAGGGGCTCCGCTTGCACCCGGGGGCTCCCCACTGGCCCCGCTCCACTGCGGGAAGCGTCACCCACGCATACACCTCCTGGCAGGGAGGAAGGCACCCGTATTTAAGCAAGCAGCTAAAGAGCCTTGTGAACAATAAACCGCAAAAAGCATCTCTTTTCAAGAGAAAATCCGATCTGCCTCTCCACCCCACCCCCCCAGAAAAAAAAAAAGCGAAG